AACACTGGAATATACGTAGATTCTAAACAATTATTAACTTAGATGTGTACAGATAGTCAAAGAATTTCAAAGTGTTAGCAATCTCAGTGAGATTTAAACCATAACTCAAAGGAAATTCAAATTCGTGTCAGGGATAGTATGAGGAAAATTAAGATGAATACTTTTACGGACGTAAAAAGAATTATTATTCAATAGAATGACTATAATGAATAAAATATAGAAAACTGTAATACTCTGTTTTTGTGGGCCAAGCTTCATTATCGTAAATCAAAAAGCGAAATAAATTTGTGAACAAAGACTGTCGACGAAAAATAAATTCATTATACAGATTTGTGAGTGATATTGAATATCATGGGTATCATAAAACAATGACGAGTGGAGTTTAAACATGTCGGGTGTGAGCCAGTTACCCAATGAACATAATGGAAGATTCTAGTTCAGTGGTTTCAGTCAGTCAGCTGCAATGTAGGACCAGGCACATATGCATTAGTTCAAGTTGACACACATCATTACCACAACAAGATGAACACTGGATTCATAGAAGTAGTTACTTCAATGGGGGTGATATATAGAAGAAAGATCGCATATAAAGACATAGTACAGCGAGAAAAAATTAGTTCGTACAAAGAAAGGTATGAAGTGATTTTAATCACTTAGTTTAAGGGAAGAAAAACAGTGTATACACCGACGCGATTGTGATCGATTCTGAGCTATGTCAACAAGAGTCTCCAACCATTGGTTACGACAGTCGCACAGATCCCAATCAAGTAGTCTGCATCTACCAACATGGCTCAAACCAGAAGTTAGTGACTTCAAGCACTGATGCCACGTTTCGGTTTGGCCACACCTAAATTTCTTCCATCCATCTCCAACACTAGTTAGCATAGAGCGCCGTGGTATTCGGTGTTCAGGCATACGTAGTACGTTGCCCAACCATCTCAGTCGATGAAGATTCACAACCTCATCAACTGGTTTGCCATCATTCCCTAATACCATGCACCTAACCTCACTATTACTTACCTTGTGATCCCAGCAGATGCCAGCGATATTTCTAAGGCATCTGTGGTCAAATACTAGTAGCTTACGAGTATCTTCAACTCCCAATAGCCACGTTTCGCTGCCGTAAATTAAAACAGAACGAACTGCCGCGCAGTGTTCTCGTCCTTTTATTGATAGACGGATATCTCGCATTCGCCATAGGTGACGTAAGTTGGCGAAAGCCAAACGAGCTTTCGAATCCGTGCAGAGATTTCGTCAGACACCAACCCATTAGGACTGATCAGACTTCCAAGATAAGTGAAGTTGTCGACGCGTTTGAATACTTGATTCCCTATCCTTAGTTCAGGTTCAGTGGTTTAAACTATAAGCGTTCATATGCGAGGTTGAAGGTCCTGGGTTCCATATATAGTAGGGTCGTGGATGCACAGTTTAGACAGCCAAAGAGCTTCCCCGTGAATCCTATGTTTCAATTGATGTCATTTTGTAATATCAACAACAGAAAGTTAAATCATTAGTAAAACCATAAATGTCCAGAAGACCGAATTTAGGAACACAATGGTTGAAAAAATCTCCGAAATAGAAAGACATATCAATTGAGAGTAACATTCTTCCAATCAACTTATCAATTTATTTCAGTGTGAAATGGAGAATTGGTAACTGAGATAATTGATTACCTCACATATGAAATTCGGAAGAAAAAGTTGAGCAAGGGTAAATAAAGAAATTAGCAAATTATTATCATTACCCATAAGATTTTGAATGTTTGAAACTTATGATATAAATTTGACTGCGATTCTTGTTATGGTTTTATTAATTTACTTTGAAGGAACTCGAATACATACATATATTCGCTCACACAGACGAGCTTCACATGAGTCATATAACTAATTCAACAGTTCTATGTATTAGGCCTTGAGCTATGCATTTTATATGAGGGTTAGTCATATTGTCGGATTTTCGATAACTGAACACAGAATGGTATTTGATTGAACAAGGGTACATTACAACTGATGACCGGAAAATCTCGAATAACATATCATATTTTGAAAGCAAAGAGTTTTTGAAGCTATTCTATATGGAGACGTAAAATGAGAGCAGAATATGGACTTGCTTGTTGTGATCAGTGTGAAATCACACACACATAACACAAAGTTGTAGAACCTTTTCCCATTTACTCAATCTGTAAACGTTAAGTATACAACCTTTTAGTTTAAACATCAGTCGATTTAAAATTTCTTAACCTTACCGTTGGTTTAATTTCATTCATTCGACTAATAAATTGAAAGGCTTTAAAATCAAATAGCTCCGAAATTAATACTTCAATTGCTTCAACATCTGTCTCTCCCTCTACTGAGCAAGATAAGGTGAATGCATTATAAAGAAAATAATTGTTTCTTGCAATGGACAAGTCAAATATCACGCAAATATCATAAGTGGTGTTGATCAGTGCGTGGGAAATGACAAAAAATTATCATTTTAGTAGCAGAACAAACTAGTACTTAATTAAGTTTTCAATACTTTATGATGACAAGATCCCAAAAAAGTGGTTCCAATCCAACACGAAAACTTGAGGTTTGTTCTGCATTTTGTCTCATCCCAGAAGGATGACGCACAAAGTTAAAGAGTACCAGACAACTGCGGAATGATTACCAGTACAGTGACAACTATTCCACTGACACTGGATTTTAATTAGAATTACTTTCTTTTACCAAAAAAAAGATTTACGTAATACTTCTAATTTAATCAAATTTGTATTACAAATATCATAATCGATTAATGAATTTTTAGATATCACAGTTCTACCTAGCATAAGTGTTTCATTTTGTAAAACATAATCGATAATAATGCATAATAATATAACTATTTGTAAAATCAATGTTTAACATTTTTATTTCATCACAATAAGACAATATTCAGAAACTTTACATTCTATTCATATCATAGGCAAAAAACGTGGAGTTATTTGAAAAACTACTGACAGATTCATACGCTTTATTAGAAAATGTCCAGAGCGTCGTAGCCTCCAGATAGAATCACATAAATGTTTTAGAAATCATGAAAGTTATAGAGTGAGCGGTTCTAGCTGACTACAACTGAAATGGAACAGTTAGCACATGCGTTGCATTTCCTAGTAGTTTGTACTCATATCAGAGTTGTCTACCAGAGGAGTATATACCATTACCGTATGGAGGGGACAGAGTGCAACCCATTTTAGTTCATAAACCTGTAAAAACTTCGAATTTTTTTCACAATTAAATATAAAACCATTTTTCTTTCCCTCACTTTTTCAGTGTTATCAAATTTTTTTGAAGCTTACATCATTGTAAGAGCTGTATTCCCAGGAAAGATGTTAATAAATACCACAAATAGATGATATCTGATGATATTCAAGCTAGTACATCATTCAGTATGAACACACCTTGTTAATTCTATACATGTTTCATGTATATTTGTGTTCTAATAGATTTCCATTTTGTTTACATTTTCATATGAGTTACTTTTCTAATATACATGAAAGTGTACGCGTCAGTCGTGTCATATGATTGTTTAGCGTTGAATGGATTAATTAATTTGTCAATAACTTGAATAATAAAGTTCAATAAACAGAAATATATAGTAGTAAAAAAAAATTCGAATGAGAATCCAATGTATTCACGTTACGGGACGAAAAAAATTGTGATCGTGATGAGGAATTTTAAATAATCAGTCTTTCATGTTATTTTTCGGATATCGTGTCAGATGAGTCAAAAACCTGAACACAGTAAACAGGATTTGTGTTTACGTATGCAAAAATAAAATATTATCTCTGGCTATATTTGATTTACTAAATATACTAAGCGCTTAACATGAATGAAAATTGTTCAGCGATTTTAAGGTATTTTGCCACCAACAATTCATTGCACATAAACCCTGTGAACAAGTGAATAGAAACATGTGTCCTTTATCGAATTTTAAGTAGGAGTTATGAGTTGTTAACCTAACTAACAATCGTACTAGTGTCTAAAAATCTAAAACCTGGGCTAATAATCAGTTGGTTTCGCTCAAGTCGACTTCACTTGAGGGACAGTGATTCTAATCAAATCCCACATTCACATTTAACAAATAGATTTGTATAAACAGTACTAAGCACAGCCTCTCTGACTATTAGATAGTCCAAACATGATGACAAAAAAAAGCGATGACGCCCACAACTACAGAAATCTATCAGTCATCTGTCTAGAAATATATAAAGAATTGTGAGTCACTGTACAAAAAATTGGTATGAGGTTTAGAGGTTTGTAGTATCATACCTCTTAAGAATAATAGTGTACATATGTCTGTACGTGTAATACTTTTAAAAAAACTCTTCGTATTATTTTTATTGCAACGACACAATGAAATTACTTAACATCAAAGAATGATGACTTTTAACTATATACATATCTAACAATATTTATTTTGAAAAGTTCATGATAGATCTACTGGAAAACGTAAGTCTGATTTATCTAATACACGCACATAGAGTTTATTTAAATATATCGGTCGGTTTGATTAAAAAGCAAGTCAGAATACCTAGAACGAAACAACAATAAACAGCATTTCACTTAACCACTGAAAACAAATTAAACATTTATGTAAATTGGAAAGAAAAACTCCGTAAAGAGCACATTATCATGTAAACATGAACAAGTATACACAAGTATAGAGTTGAATGAAAAATTGCATGAAATAAAACACGAAAAAACTAATACACAGAAAAGTCTTTTTGTAATTAAGATATATTTGTTGTGAATGATATCTTACAGTACTGAGCATCGATAACCAAGTGACATATATACTGCAAGAAAACAATGTTTGGACACGACATACATTCAGTAAATTAATACCAATTCCTTTAATATAAAATTTTTATTTCCCACTTAAAACTAACAACACTTCAAAATCCGAAGAACAACGAAACACATAACAAGGTTATATTAAGGTAGATTATAAAACAACAAGATATTAAAATTTGGGCTTACGTGGAACTATTCCGTTGTGTTAAGAAGTATTTATTCACGGCAAGCTGTCAAAATAAAAGAAAAAATAATGGTGAATTATATATATATATATATATATATATATATATATATATATATATATATATATGCAAGCCACATCCATGCTACTGACCAGTAGTCGAATCAGGTGAGGATAGATATTGAGAGGGGTTCAGAAACATGGTTCTATTTGTAAATAAAAACAATATATTCGTAATATCTCAATGAGTAGAAAAATTAAGTTCTTAATTTTATTTATTTATAACAATCTACCCAATACTCAATTTATTTGAAATTATCACGTCAAACCTTGGTAATGACACCTAGAGTTCTATTAGGTTGATTGATAAATAGAGAAAAGTACATTACATTTTTACGTTCATGGCTTTACCGGATAATTTCTTTTTTCCGAGATATACACAAAACTTCCACGTGATCTTAAAGAAGATAATTTATGAATGATTGTTACGACACCATTTGATAAAAGCATTTCAATCAAATCTGATATAGCTGATTCCATGATTTAATTGCTTCTCTTCATAAATTAGGAATGAAATGTATTTATCAATACATAAAATTGACTAATATTAAGGGCCCTTAATCTGGCTATTTTTCGGATTATTAGTTTGGATAATTTTAGAACCTGAAGAGAATTTATCGAAAAGAATACTCTTCGTCCAAATATTAGTCTTTTAATATGATGAGGATCTTTAATTGACATAAAATTGAGTCTGGATTATTTGTTTCCCTAATAAGTGGTCACAAATTCTTATCTCTAGAAAAAATACCCTCGATAGTTTAAAATAACTAAATAAATTCTCTCTTTTTAATAGCTGAGATCATGAGGGAATTGAAGCTAGACCACAATGGAAAACCTGGAAGTACTGGATAACCATTTCGTCCTATTGTGGGACTCCTCAGCAGTGCGCACCCACGACCCCGCCTCGAGGCCCCCAAATGCCCACTACATAGTAACTCCTGCTTCGGACTGGGCACCTGGGTAGTATCACAGCCCTCACACAAATCTCATTTGATTTGTGTGGTGCATATGTATCTGATTTCTCCTTGTACCAATATCTGTGTACTCAAATAAATAAATACACCACCCCGCGGGATTCGAACCCAGAACCTATCAGTCTCGTGCGCGAGCGCTTAACCACCAGACCACTGAGCAGGTATTCAACGGTGTTAGTATATAACTTCAAATAATCCACAAAATTAAGCGACACATCCACATCTTAACTATTGAAATCACACAATCTCCACAAAACCCCTTCTGATATCTATCTTTTTATTCGAACTGTTTCAAAAGCATTCACATTATTATTATTATCGATTCAATTGAAGGAGACTGTTTACTAATAGCTTAACAGTTCATGAGTTACACAAAAAGCTAAATTCTTACTTTCATTAACCAACTAAGAGTTTAGATGCGCACTAGCTTTAATGTGTACAGAAAAATTTTTTTCGAGACATTGATGAATTCATAGCTGAATCTTTAATATCTTAATAAAACAAATGGTGGTTAAACATCAGTATCCTTTGAAGGTAAAGGTGTGTTTGTCAACATTAGGAGTTAGGTCGTTATTAATCATGCTAACAGTGGTGGATTTAAAAGAACATGGATAAAGTGAAATTAATGAATAATCAGCTAGTGCACGATGATTCATTACTTATATTGTATCAAGTTGTCTGAAAATTCAAATTGATTGGATACTAAAATCACGTACACTGAATGGCTAATTGATAGACACCAGTGTTAACTACTGATGCTTTAGTTCTGAACGAGGTATCTATTCATTTGTCTGCCGTGCTATATCACGAGGACTGAAATCTTCATCTAATCACGACTTCTAAACGTCTGTATATACATTATGATGAAGGATATTAAAGAGCGGAAAACAAGATCCACAGTGACCAGTCTACTCCTTGCAATTATATACACAATATTTATTACAAATAATAAATATATTGAATCACTGTACCTAAGCCATAACTTATTATACGTATGTCCTTTCATTACGTTACCAACATTGATCAAATGAATTAAGTTTTAAATTATCGAAAACAAAACTTCCTGCGCACACTACCTGAACTCACTAACTTAAAGCGTAAAACTGTATCTCGATGAGTGAAGTTGGATTTCTATAAACCTTGTTTGATAAGCCACATATTCCTAAAGTAATCGTACAAGAGTTAACATCCTAGCAAATTATAACGAAGTGTTCCTAATCTAATTCAGCTTTCTTAAAAACGTAGTACACATGGAAGTAATTGACACTTCGTAGAACATTAAAAAGTTATTTGATTCTTTAAAAAGAAATCGCAAAGTTCAATGTGTAAACTTGGTTTCTGTAATCTGACTAAACAATCAAATTTACCTAAAAACCAGAATCAACCTACCACTTCATATGTAAAGGTATAAAAATAGTAAATACTTAAACAAATATTTAAAACAAACAATTCAGTAATTTGTAGAATCAGGAAGAACAAAAAAAAACAGAATCAAATTACACACTACTAAGTCTCTTTATTCCTATTTATTAGACAGAAAATAGATGCATGAAGTTAACTGAAACATTGAATTACATAACCCAAGGGAATGTTACACGAGAATTTACACCACAAAAACTATTTAGGTGACTAGTATTCAATGTGAATACTCGATTGTATTGTTATTAAGTGAAGATATTTTTTGTTAATACTAATCAAATTACTGTAGTAAAGCGTTAATCATGGCTTCCATTCGAGGACTAGTTAAACAACATACATTTTTTTGATTGAGATCATGAACCGATTGATGTAAGACCACTATTGAAATGGAAGATGGTCGCGCAATTTCGTGGATCGGTTGAGGTTAGACATTAACACCATTGGATGCCGGCTCAGTGGTCCAGTAGGTTAAGCGTTCGCGCGCGAAACTGAAGGCTCTGGGTTCGAATCCCGCGACCGGGATCGTGGATGCGCACTGCTGAGGAGTCCCACAATAGGACGAAACAGCCATCCAGTGCTTCCAGGTTTTCAATGGTGGTCTAATATCAATCGGTTCATGATCTCGACTAAAAACTTAACAATCTCCACAACCCCTAAACTGATATTCATATTTACTAATATAAGAAAAGGTGCGAATATAGAATATTGGTAACTGGACAGATGATACTAAAAATTTCATCACAATGCTTAAAAAAATAGCAAATGGTGATTTTATTACATAGGGAATGAAACTCAAAAATAATTAATAGCTGTACTAAAGTAAAACAGATATACGAAGAGAACCAGACAAAAGTAAATTTCGTTAGACAAGAACAGCATAACAGCAGTCAATAAACATATCTGCTAATATAAAGAAACATCAGAATGATTAATGAATCAATTTTACTGCATGATGATGAGATCAACTGAAATGCTGAAGCAACTAAGGAACTATATGTTTACATCGACTAAACTTCCTTTAGCTACGTTGACTACTACCAGCAATAAAGGCAGGTTGCAACAGAAGATCATTACAATGATTCAAAGTATTGTGATAATGAAAAGTCGATGATGGCCGAACGGATAGAAAACGCGATCAACACACAAACTGATATGAGGAAGTGAAAGTAAAATATGGTTGTTCGTTGACCGTGGGAAAACACCTGCCAAGTCCAAATCGTCTAGTTGCATGCAAGTCGCCCATTGTATTCCGTGCTTCCTCTCAGGTGTCATGGTTTTCATTATCCAGTCAACCACCAGAAGATAGAGAAAGGGGGAGGGTAAGCAGCCTTATCTGACTTTAGTCCTCACTTAGAATACATCTGTCAGCTGTCCTTCATGCACCACTTTGCACTGTACTCCGTCGTGTGAATTCCGCATGACATTGATGATCTTCTCAAGTACACTATAGTGTCGAAGAAGTTTCCGTTTTGTCCTCCCTATTCACGCTGTCAAACGCTTTCTCATAATCAATGAAGTTGATGTATAGTGACGAGTTCCATTTAAATCATTGTTCAACGATGATCCGTAGTGTCGCGAGTTCACAAGCACGATATAATTGTCAGTTTGTGATGAAAAGGGTTGGCTATACCAAACAGGCTACAGTATTAAAATATGAGACGTTGTTTTTCAAATGACAGATCCGTACTTCTATCATAGAAGAAACAGATAAAAATCGATTAGAAAAGATTAAGAAGCAATCGAATTGGGTTGAAAGAAGTCCAAGGTAAACAATAAATGTTCAGTCCGCCGAATAAATAAACGAATTTCCCGATCAGAGCATTGTAACATTCAAATGTTATCTCATAATCAAGTGAGTATTGAACATTTGATGGTGGTTATCACATGTTGATAGACCTTAGAATGTATGCAATGTTTCGAAGAAAAACATATAAACAAACATTTTCTCTATACCTCTTTCATATGTCAGTTTTATGTGAAAATAAGTTGTTTCATTAAAAGTCAGTCAGTTACGATGTAGGACCAGGCACATATACACATCGGTCTATGATGAAATTAAACAAAAATGGAGATCAGACAACAGATCGACTAATAGTGTTCGAGTAAAGAACCTTCACAGAGTTTATATACTTCTGAGGTACACCTTTCAATAACAGACACTGCCACAGAACATCTCGGTCTAGAGTAAGATACCACCTTAAGTCAAGTAGAACTGTCATTGTTCGATTCCGATAAACATGTCTGTGTTCTAAAACCTGACAAATGATGAATATGTGGTCGATGTAGATACGATCAGGTTTGAAGCCAGCCTAGTTTCCTCTTAATTGTTGTTCACGATTCCTTGTTAGGCGTCCGATAATTATTGAGGCTAGTGTTTTAAATGATATATTAGTCAAACTAATCCCCCTATGCTTATCACAGGATGATTTCGATCCTTTCTTATAGATTGGGATGATCAATGATTCCGACGAGTCAGATGGGATTGCATTCAGTCCCCACATTTTAGCTAAATTATTAGTCAACCTAGTCGCTAAATCTGGGTCAGCATCTTTGAAGACCTCTGGAGTCCATCCATCTGAACCAGCTGCTCTTC